TTTTTTTTTTTTTTTCTTTTAGTCATACGACGCAGGTTAGGTGTAACCGGAAAACCAGGTCAGTTGGGACATTATTTTTCTGTACACCGCACATCCATTTTCATCTCTCCCCTTTCCTCTTTTTGTTTTTCCTATAATCAATTCAACCAACGCAATTTCATTGATCTGCCGATCGATGACCATTACAGGTTTCTGGAATGGAATTCTTCCGAAAAGCCAAATCCGTCCGGCTCAAGAGCCACCACGACAAATACCTAACGGCGGACCCTGACGAGGACACCGTCGTCCAGGGTCGATTAGGAACGTCGATCTCCGCCAAGTGGGCGGTCGAATTTGTCGACGGCGTCGAGAACGTGGTCCGGCTGAAGAGTCGGTACGGGAAATACCTCACGGCTTGCGACGAGGAGTTCCTGTTGGGGGTAACCGGCCGGAAGGTCGTCCAGAGCCTACCGAGGAAGCTGGACTCGTCTGTCGAGTGGGAGCCTGTTAGGGACGGGATGCAGGTGAAGCTAAAATCCAGGTACGGCAATTTCCTGCGGGCCAACGGAGGTCTGCCGCCATGGAGAAACTCGATTACCCACGATATTCCTCATAGGCACCACGATTGGGTTTTGTGGGAGGTTGATGTCGTTGAGGTCCGGCCAGAGTCGCCACCTAGGGTTTTGCGATCGGATTCTTTGGATGAGGATTTGAGTTCTGCTTCCTTTCGTATTCGTATCCCAAGCGTGGTCAGTTTTTTCCTTCCTTTGTTTGAGAAAAGAAAAATAAAAAATAAAAATCATTTGAATGAAATGTGTGGATTTCAGAACAGTATGAATGAAAGAAATTGTTAATATGACCTATATTGTACTTAATTAAATCTCAGTTGTAAAATTATGCATCACGAATGCATTTGCCAAAATAATTTAGTTGGTATAAATGTGATTTAACAAGAAAAAGTTCACTCGCCAGCTTCGAAGATATGTACACATCACATTTTTTAGAATGTACTTCAAGCTTCCACAAGTACCATCTTCTGTTTTTCACTTGGAGCTTATTATATTTTGGTGTTTCCTATGACCAGTCTAGTGGTTCATTTGAAGACTCGCCAAAGAAATCAGAGGGCCGGCTAATATACTATTACGTGGTGGATGAAGATGGGGAAGTCAATGATGCAATTGAAGAACGTTCGTTCCAGTTTAAAGGGCATTGCTTGGAGGAGCTGACAGACAAGTTGGAGGATGAAACTGGGCTTGAGGATATAATCATTTGCTCGAGAAACATTGTGAATGGGAAGCTTTATCCGCTCCGGCTAGCTTTACCTCCCAACAATAACACCATGCATGTCGTCGTGGTCCCACCAACTTCGAAAGGTTGTTATTCGTTCACCCTATCTTGAAATGTTCCACGTTGTGTTGCTAAATATTTATTTAGAATATTTTATTAGTTAAGCATGCTTGTGAACGGACCTTTGTTTGACATATTGTAAGGATGTGGGTTGAAAGGGAGAATAAGGGAAAATGGTTACCGTGTATGAAGTGGAGTTGAAATCAATTGGAGATAAATTAAAACAGTATACCAGTAAGGAGTTTAAAGGGGTTTGAAATTTAGTCTTAATTGCTATTTTTTATGCGATAAAATGAGGTTTCAAGTTTTTTTTTTTTTGGGACCAAAAGTTCAAAGCATATCTTTTATAACTCATTCGGGGCAATCACACAGTGCAATAATGGTGCAATCATGTGGTACTATCATTTGTGATTCGGGTTAATAAAGATTCTAGCTATTGGATTTTATCCCGCAAGCTTTGTGGAACACTGGGAAAATAGTGTTTATATTATGAAGTTAAAATCAATATCATTAAATGTTTTTTTGTCGAAACGCAACCTTGGTTAAATGCATGGAGAAGTCTACAACGCATGAAGAGGCTGTTAATTAGATGTGATGAGTATTTGACTTTCTAATATAACTTTTAACTACTAGAGCATCTGGGATCATGTTCTTTAAAATTGAGCTATTTTAGCTAGGTAGAAGTCCGAAAGCTAGAATAAGCCAGCCAACTTCTTGAGATGTCATTCCAAACATGTTCCCCCCCTTTTGACGCTAACTTAATAATAAGTAAATCTATTGTTTGATTTAACAGATGTCTATTATTCAGAATTTAAATATGAAGTATATGTTTACATGTAGTGATTGATAATAGCAAGCTTATACAGTTAGAGCTTTTGCGCTGTTTCTTTGACTCCATGGTTTGGCTTATAAATAAGTTGGTTCCTTATAGTTAAAGGCTATGGTGCAACTTTCAACTTGTTCATTGGTGATGCCCCGAGATATTGTCACATTTTGTCAATCTGTAACTAATAATCTGCAGGATTTGGTTACCTTAAAGCAATCACTTATGATTCCAAGGTTCAAATATCCCTCTTTTAGTATTTACCTTTCGGAATGTCATAGAAAAACTTATCCTTGAGCCTTAGTCTAATTCATAAAACCTTAAACTATATCTCCAAATCATGATGCTCCCTTAATGTGCTAAAAATAACAACTCTTGAGGCTTGTGTATACATATCAAGCACCCCAACTTGAGGATGTAGTTCGTGAAATGGAACTAACATCAAGAGGGGCATTTCTAATTCTAAAGGTGACTGATTTTTTTAATGACATTGTTAAGTGTCCAATAGTTATGTAATTGTCTGTATATTTTATTTTTTTACTTTCTCAAGGTTGATATGTCTGAGCGTATGCAAATTCATTGCCCTGTAAAATAACGTCTTTTTTTATATCATTTGACAGCTGCAAATGAATTCCTGCCAGCAGCTCCTACTTCTCCATGATACGCCTTCATCTTCAGCAAACTTAAGACAATATCCAAATTCAAATGAGTGATCAGCAAACAAGTACTTCTGTTTTTCCAAGCATGAAGGTACTTGGTAACTTTTACTGCCCAACAATAGTGATTAACCTTTCAACAAGAATCAATCCTGTATAATTTCAAACTGGAGGATGTGATTTTTGTGTAAAAAAGTTGCCCCAATTTTTATTCAGAACTGTATATTATTATTCATTTCTTATGCCTAGTTTCTTTTTGGGCAACAACTAAATACACAATGGATTCATGGAAGACATGAAACTGGGCAATTTCTTCTGTCCAAAATTGTACGTCTCATGTGTCTACGTTTCATGTGATTGTTACTAAGACGTAATGCATAATAAGTGCGCATGATTCATAAATATTATGGCTAACCTGCATGGAACACTCTTGGTGCCAGTCGATTAACAAAAACACTTCTGCTCTTTTTGCAATTTGATCCTCATCACTCCTCAATGCTGCAATTTCACTTTTCTAAAATTTGCAGAACAAAGTATGGGTGCTATCTTCCGAATAAACCTTTTTTCCCTCAAATGGTACATTTCCAGTTCATTATACATGTAACTGTTTTTCTTTTTTTTTTCCATATATTTTGTGATATGTATTTTGAGGAGTGGGACTTGGATAATTATTAGACGGTGAGGTGGCTACGGACCACGGATGACTTTTATATATTTAATCGTGATTTACCAATTGTATGGGAGTACTTGTAATAACATCACTAGTTTTAGGGCCAAGTGCTCGGGTCTCAATGTGCTTAACAAGGTAATTGGCGTCATTTTCGTTTCGGCCTTTAACTTTTCTTCTTTTCTTCTTTCTATGTTTTATTTGACATCGATTTACTCCGAGGTATTAGTGATAAAATTTTGTCCTCATTATCATTTTCATGGAGTACGTACTTGCTTCTTCTTGGTGCTTCTTGTTTGCTTAATATGGCTGTCAGATTTGTGTTTTGTTGGCGTTAACATGTGCAAGTGCAACTATTGTTGGAGTTAACATGTGCAACTTGCTCCTTCCTCGAAACAATTCAGGTCTCACTAACTCACCAACTTAATTTATGGCTTCTTCAGTCCTGCGCCACAATACTACTCTGCTTTAGAGTAGTACGAAATACTTGCTTTAATTAATGTTGTGCTACATATTTGCACTACTCTAAATATGTGAACAGTATTGCACTACATGTAGCGCGATACTATTCACAGCGCTATAATTTTTTTTTTCTTCAATTTTTTTTTTGAATTAATTTTTATTAAATAAATATTATTGTAATAAAATATACATCAATATAATTATTTATTTTGTTAAATAATTCTAAATGTTGATTTTATAGTTATATTTAATTTTATCTTGTACTATTATATTTCACGTAGAGTAAAATATAGCACGAACTACTGGATGAAAGTTAAATTTTTTACATTCTCTACTCTAGAAGAATGTGGATGATCTTATTGCCTATGCTAATATTTTCGTTAACAAAATCTACCAACACTCCGAGGCTTCACTGATGTGTTGTAGCTTGGGGCGATTGGATATAAATAAAATATATTTTGATTATATTATTTATTAAAGTGAGTTAATTTGGAATAAAGTTTTTTTTTTAAGAAAAATAATTTTGAATAAAGTTAATTTGAGAAAATTTAAATTTGTATTTAAATAATATTTTAAATATATAATGATAAAAATTGATGTAAAATAAAAGTAGAAAAGATGTTATTGAAAATTATAAGTAGTGAAAAAATGTGATCTGATGAATAATGAAATAAAATTGTTGTGACGTGTAAAGATGATTGATTTGTACTACAGATGATATTGATAAGAGTTAGATCAAATTAAATTTGAATTGAATTTTTAATTAAATAATAATTAAAAAAAATATACGATTAGACAAAGTCAGTTTTAAGTTTTAACTTGCAGCCAATTGAACCCTTGCCAGCTCTTGAAATGACGCCAGCTCTTAAAATGCGGACACTAACCTAGCACAATCAGACAACTAACCTAGCACAATCAGACAACTAACCTAACAGCATCAGACAACTAACCTAGCAACTGCAGAGACTATGCATTTTCTATTTTTTTCCAATTGGTACATAAAAAAGAAGTTGAGAGCATTGTTATGAAAAAAAACTTCGAAAAATGAGTCTCGATTGGGGAGATATAGAGGTTTAAGAATACAAAAAACGTATTTTTTCTTAAAAATGAAAATAAAGGAAGAAAAAGGCATTTTTTTAAAAATTCGGGCGGCCAAACCGCCTTCGGTCGTTTGCAACTGCGTAGATCTCGTCGAGCTACCCCAAATCCAAAAAAAAAATTCGTCCAAACGGAGCTTTCTACGCAAAATTATGGCCTTTCAAAGTTTTGCTATGTAACCCTGTAAATTTTCATCATGTAGTTGCAACTACAAACAACTAACCTAAAACCATCAGCCAACTAAACTAGCAGAATCAGACAACTAACCTAGCACAATCAGACAACTAACCTAGCAACCACTAACATAGCATAATCAGACAACTAACCTAGCACAATCATACAACTAACCTAGCACCATCAGAATGATATGCAACATAAAAAAAACTAATCTCGCATGCCTTATATATTTTTGTTGAATAAAAAAAAAAAAA